TCTCCATTTGAACCTGCAGGAGAAAATTATCTTTTTAATAAAGATTTTTTATTTATGTATTTGAGAGGGAGAGTACAAGTGGAAGGCAGGGAAGGAAGAAGCAGGCTCTTGGCTGAGCCCAATATGGGGCTGGACCCCAAGACCCCAAGACCAGGACCCGAGCTAAGGGCAGACACTCAACCAACTGAGCCAGCCAGGCACCCCAGAAAATTATTTTCTGTCCTAGTATCTGGAAAAAAGACTCTGCTTGGGTTTCCGTCTTTGTGTTTGTTTTTTTTTTTTAATTTTTTATTTATTTATGACAGTCACAGAGAGAGAGAGAGAGAGAGAGAGAGGCAGAGACACAGGCAGAGGGAGAAGCAGGCTCCATGCACCGGGAGCCTGATGTGGGATTCGATCCCGGGTCTCCAGGATCGCGCCCTGGGCCAAAGACAGGCGCCAAACCACTGCGCCACCCAGGGATCCCCGTCTTTGTGTTTGTTGGCTGTTAGGAAGCTTAGAGCAGTGATTCTCAAGCAAGCATATCTTGGGCTAGAATAACTACCAGAATCCTCTGGGCAGTTTTTGCAAAATGTGCTTACAGCTTACACCCCTCAGAAATTTCAATCTGTCTTCCTAGAGGAAAGTGTTCCCCTTCCTCTCACAAGATCCATGGCTTTGGTGAGCCACTGTGCTATTTGATGACAGATAAAACTCTCTAAAGGCCTGATATATAAGGGAAGCCATTTTAGATTTCTAAGTCAGCATGACTACATAAATTTTATTTAAACCAAAAACCAGGAGCACTTGGCTGGCTCAGGTGGTGGTAGAGTGTGAGACTCTTTTTTGTTTGTTTTTAAGATTTACTAATCTTTAAAAAAAAAAAAAAAGATTTATTGGGACACCTGGGTGGCTCAGTGGTTGAGAATCTGCCTTTGGCTCAGGTCATGATCCCAGGGTTCTGGGATTGAGTCCTGCATCAGACTCCCCACAGACTCCTTGCTTCTCCCTCTGCCTGTGTCTCTGCCTTTCTCTGTGTCTCTCATGAATAAATAAAATCTTAAAAAAGAAAAAGATTTATTTATTTATTTGAGAGCAAAAGAAAGTGGGAGAATCTTCAGCAGACTCTTCACTGAGCACAGAGCCTTACATGGGGCTCCATCTCATGCCCCCAAGATTGGGACTAGAGCTGAAATCAAGAGTTGGACACTCAACCAACTGAACCACCCCCCAGGTACCCTGAGCATATCACTCTTGATTTTGGAGTTGTGAGTTTGAACCCTGTGTTGGGTGTAAAGGTTACTCAAAAATAAAATCTTTATAAAGATTAACACAAGTAAACAAAAGCCTATTTTATGGCCCACACAGCATAATAGAACACCTCCTTTGTAAATGAGTAGCCTAAAGGAAAGCCATCTTATTCGGAAGATATGGTCAGTGCTCCTACTCCTTGAATTCCTTGACATTAAAACTTGTGATTTCTGCCTATATATTAATCTATAATCTTTTGACTTCTATAAGATGTAAAAAAGTATATAGCCCTGTAAGAACTGTTCATTCTCTGGAGCACTTTCTTCCCTGTGAAGACTGTGTTTCCCAAGCCGCTGTCCTAACTTGGGCTCAAATAAAATTATCTTTCTTACTTTTAGGGATTCTGAAAGGTTTGTTCATTTTGCATCAACATACTTAAAGGAACAAACCCTATTTTTCAGGTCTGCTGAGTTGGAGAAAGGGCTAAGAATTATTGTCTTAGGGGCTTCTGAAATGACTAAGACAATAGAGCATGTGACTCTTGATCTCAGGGTCTTGAGTTTGAGACCCAAATTGGATGTAGTTTACTTAAAAAGAAAAAAATTGTTGTCTTAGAGCAGCAGTTCTCAAATATGGTCTGGGAACTTCTGAAGCGGTTCCCAAGACCATTTTAAGGGGTGCCTAAGGCCAAAAGTATTTTCATGATGTCAAGTGTACAATATAGGTTTCAAAAGGCTACTTGACTAATGATATTTCAAAAGGCTGGCTGCAAAAGCAGATATGAGAAATCCAGCTGTAGTCTATTCATCCAGACACTAGCGAGGTTTGCAAAAATGTCTCTCTTTTCACTTTTTTTCTCAAAGATTTTATTTACTTTTTTAAAAATATTTATTTATTTACTTATGATAGACATAGAAAGAGAGAGAGGCAGAGACACAGGAGGAGGGAGAAGCAGGCTCCTTGCCAGGAGCCCGACGTGGGACTCGATCCCGGGTCTCCAGGATCCTGCCCTGGGCCAAAGGCACGTGCCAAACCGCTGAGCCACCCAGGGATCCCGAAGATTGTATTTATTTATTCATGAGAGACACAGAGAGAGAGAGAGAGGCAGAAGGAAAATCAGGCTCCCCATGACCTGAGTCAAAGGCAGATGCTTAACCACTAAGTCACCCAGGCTCCCCTGCTCTTTTCACTTTTAAAACAATGTCATTCTTTCACTATTTTTTTGAAAAAATATCTTTCATTAAAAATCTTACTTACATTAACCTGTAACAGATTTTTTTTAGTGATTTAATAAGTAATTTTAAGTGTTTCTGAGTTTTAATTTCAAAGGCAGTAAATATTGATAGAGTCCAAATAAAAATTCTGGTTTCCTCAATAATTTTTAAGACTGTACAGAGGTCCTGAAACCAAAGTCTTTGAGAACTACTGAATTGCAGTGGTTTGTAGGCTAGTGTGTTCATGGCATGCGTGTTTTGTTTTAACCAAACTATACCCTCTCTCTTCTTTCCTATCTTTGTCCATTGCCTCATTTTGCTGAGTGTTTTGTTGTATAAATGGTCCTTTATCCTTGGAAAGGCAAATGCCTACGAATGAATGTTTGAGGGGACTTAGAAACCCCAAGAATTGTGACTCTTGATCTTGGAGTTGTGAGTTCAAGCCCCACGTTGGGCATAGAGCTTCTTTTAAACAAACAAATTGAAACTCCAGGATTAAAAAAAAAAAAAAAAAAAAAAGGAAACTCCAGGATTGTGTTAACGAGTCTGCCACCAAGTTTACCTTCATTGTCTCCGTGGACCTGCTAAAGTTAGCAAGTTTATCAATTAACTCCAGTGGATTGTGCATCCCTGTGTTTGTATTTCCTCCCTTCCTAATCACATCTCATCCCCTCTGCTCTTGCTGCCCTGGGATCGTACCTCCCAGTAAGGCACAAACATGTGGGCTCTGCCCAGACGTCTATTTTCTAGGGAAACTGGACTACTAGAGTTGTATATTATTAGCCTATATTATTGGTAAGAAAATCAATATATGGGTATCCCATGCTTTTCAAAAGTTTGCATTATGCCACTTGGCTTTTAGGAAAGGCCTACGTGAGTACTCGTTTTCGCTAACCGAAAGAAATCCAAAGAGGATCTTCACTTTTTTGAAAAAAAAAAAAATGGTGAAAAGTGAAAATAGCCCTCAGTGTTTGTTTTGCAGCCAGCTGTACAGAGGCAGCAAGCACCCTGAGATCTCCTACCCTGGGAACTACACTCAGCATCTTAGCAGCAAGCTGTCATAGTGTTGAACTGTACGAGCACCTGTGCTTGATCTCAATTTATACTGTGCATTTGTTACCAAGATATGTCCTAAGGTATCAGAAAAGCCTAAGAGAGGGGTGCCTGGCTGGCTCAGTGAGTGGAGCGTGCAATTCTTGATCTCGGGGTTGTGCATTCAAGGCCCACGTTGGGTGTAGAGATCATTTCAAAACAAAATCTTTGAAAAAGAAAGAAAGAAGAGCCCAAGAGAGGTGATCTTTGGATCTGGGAACGTTAAAAATCTTTTCCATGTAAACTGATAGTAATTGTCTCTTTGCTTTATGCCATTTCTGCTTCCAAAAGTTTTCTTTTTTTTAAATACTTATACATTTTTTAAAGACTTTATGTATTTATTCATGAGAGACACAGAGAGAGTCAGAGGGAAAAACAGGTTCCATGCAGGGAGCCCGACACGGGACTCAGTCCTGGGTCTCCAGGATCACACCTGGGGCTGAAGGTGGTGCTAAACCACTGAGCCACCCCGGCTGCCCCAAAAGTTTTTGTAGAAATGCTTTACTTGGGAAGCCTGGGTGGCTCAGCAGTTGAGCGTCTACCTTCGGCTCAGGGCGGGATCCTGGAGTCCCGGGATCGAGTCCCACATCAGGTTCCCCTTGAGGAGCCTGCTTTTCCCTCTGCTTCTGTCTCTGCCTCTCTCTGTGTGTCTCTCATGAATAAATAAACAAATCTTGAAGAAGAAGAAGAAGAAGAAGAAGAAGAAGAAGAAGAAGAAGAAGAAGAAGAAGAAGGAGGAGGAGGAGGAGGAGGAGGAGGAGGAGGAGGAGGAGAAATGCTCTACTTGTGGGTAGCAGGGGAAACCTCAGTGTGGCTATTCTGTGACTCTCCAGGTCTACTCTCCACCCCTTCTCTATCCTGATCTGCTCCCCCAGAGCGACCTTCACAGGCCACATCGCAGGCTCCCCATCACTTTGGCTTCTGGGAAGTTTCAGGGACGGGAGAAGCTGGCAGGTGATCAGAGGGTAGGAGGAAAGTGAGATGGGGACTTTTATTTCCCAGCTCTCTGCCTACTGAGCCACAGGTTGATAAAGGTTGAATTCCTCCATGGAGGGAGCTCCCGACTCATCAGCCTCTCCTCCAGCTACAGCTCTCCCTTTGGGCTTCCAGCGTGTGCTCCCTCTCTGCGTCTCCATTACTGCTAACCCCAAGATGCTTCACCATCCCTTGGTGGTTCCCTGAACCCTGCCTATACCTCTGTAAATAGTTCCTTCATTAAATTCCTCTCAATTCCTCTTTGAGGCACCACATGTTTCTTAGGTGGCCTCCTACTGAAACACACAGAGGGGTTGAGTGACTCTCCCAAGGTCACACAAAGAGTGACAACACTTGAGAGTACTCTAACACAGAAAAGGGTGCTATCTTTTTGGCTTTGCCAGCCTGCCCAGCCCCCTCCCAGAATCCTCAGCCCTGCCCAACCTGCCGGAAATCTGTGATCCTTTTGTTGGGATGGGATTGAATTCCCTAGGGCTCCCTTCCCAGACCTGGCCAGCAACTCCAGTAACCAGAGCTGTGTGAGAAGAAAGGACCAAGCCTTTGGGGTAAGGCACACCCTGAACAGAGGTGAGGTCTCAGGTGAGTCACGCCACTGAGGGGCCACCTCCTCTGTCCCCAGGGCCTGGGTTCACCCACGGCCTGGCCTCACCAAGGAGCCAATACATCAGCCTCCCAGCACCTTGGTTGTCCTCTCCTCCCACCTTTGCCCACAGGGTTCTCCACTCTTCCATCGCCCACTCAACAGCGCCCTGGAACTAGGACATCTGCCTCCCACCCCCACCTTGGGCCTCCAGTGATGTGAGATGCTCACAGGGCTCTGGGTGGCGCCTACAGGCTCCCTACTTCCCCTTCCAGCCCCAGATCCTCTCAGATTGCCAGAGATGGGCTCCAGCCAGGGAGGGTGGGGCTGCTCCTGGGACCATCAGGTGTCACACGGGCTGTCTAGGCAGTGACAGAGCTGTGACTGGGAGCAGACCTTCACCCATCTCCGTGCCTCCAGCTGACTCAAATGTGCCATGTCTCACCACCTGCTCCTTCCACTGGTGATCCTCGGTAACTTCAGGAGACAGGAGATGGCTACAATGGGCCAGGGTCCTAGTATCTGGGGAGCTGGAAACCAGGACTCCTGGGTTCTGTGTGGGTAATGGGGGGTCAGAGGAGGAAGGGGAGGAGGGACTGAGATGTCAGAAGGGAGAGGAATAGTGTTTGAGAGGGGAAAGAGGCTTGGGTGTTATAGGGAGATGGAGCTTGCTGGGAGGGCATCAGGGAGGATTTATCAAAGTGTAGATCTCTAGCCTCTCCCTGCTTCCCTCTTTCTAGCCATCAGCCCCATCCCAGGAGCTTTCCAGAACTCAGGTAAGGCAGTTGGGGGGGGGGGGAGTCATGTGGGAGGCAGCGAAGATAGGAGGGGTAACATGCCTACTGGCAGGGGACTGAAAGCCCAGGGACTGGGAAGGGTAGGGGGCAGCGGCCTAAGAACAGGAAGATGGGGCTTCGCGGGCTGGAAGTCACCAGTACCTTCCTCTCTTTACCTTCTAACCCTCAGCTCTCAGTTCCACCCAAGAAGAACCTGAAGATCTAGGTAAGGAAGAGTGGGGAGTTCCTCAGATCCTAAGGAAAGTTAAGGCTGGCTAGGCGAGGAGGGAGGTGGAAGTCACTGGAAAATTAGACGTGCCAAGGTCCTCACTGTTCTTGTTCAGAGGGGCAAACTGAGGCCGGGTGGGAGACAGGGCTTCGTCTTGAGCTCCTTGGGCCTCCGGCGTCGGGCAGCCGGCAGGCGACAACCTCCACGGTGCCCCAATGCAGACTGCGGTCGCCCTGAGCCCTCTGCCCGAATCATGGGGGGCTCGGACGCGCAGCCGGGGAGCTGGCCGTGGCAGGTGAGCCTGCATCAGAGCGGGAGCCACATCTGCGGGGGCTCCCTCATCGCGCCTTCCTGGGTGCTCTCGGCGGCTCACTGTTTCGTGACGTGAGTATCGGCCCACAGCCCACCCCGGTCCACAGCCAGCCCTGCCTAACCCCGCGGCTTGAGACCGCGCGGCGCCGGTCTCCCCGCCCCCGCCCCCGCCCCCGCCCCCGCCCCAAGGGCTCTGCGGAGCCGGGTCACCCTGGTTCCCAAGGCGGTAGGCGCCGCCTGCAGGCCCGCCCCACCACTCCACCAAGCATCCGACCCTGAATCCCGTCTGTCCGGCGTCCCCCGGTCAACCAACCACCTGGGAATCGGATCCACTCCCCCCCTTTCTGGGAACCCCTCTGAACCTGGATCCCTCCAGCCCCAAATCCCGACCCAGGTTTCCCGCCGATCCCACCTTCCCGCGGGCTCTGAGCCCCTACCCCGACGACAGTCGGCCTCCCCCCTCCCGCCCGGGCCTCCGCGCAGGAACGGGACCCTGGAGCCTGCGACCGAGTGGTCGGTGCTGCTGGGCGCGCGCTCCCAGGCCGCGGCCCCCGGCGGCGCGCACGTGCGCGCGGTGGCCGCCATCCTCGTGCCGCGCAACTACAGCGGCGTGGACCGCGGCGCCGACCTGGCCCTGCTGCGCCTCGCCTCGCCCGCCACGCTGGGCCCCGCCGTGCGCCCCGTCTGCCTGCCGCGCGCCTCGCACCGCTTCGCCCACGGCACCACCTGCTGGGCCACCGGCTGGGGGGACATCCAGGAAGCGGGTGAGTGTCGGGGAGGTGGGTTTCGGCGGCCGCGGAGCCCGCTGAGGAGTCCCCGGGGCCGGGCCTCGAAGCCGGAGCCCCGGGTGGGCGGGCGCGCGGGGCGGGGCCTCGGGAGGTGGACCCCGGGCGAGCGCCCGGAGCGCAGACCTCGGCCCGGTGAGCGCTCCGCCCGTCTCCCTCTATCTTCCCCGCTAAGGGCCCGCAAACCAAGACTACTGACTCCTCCAACCCATTACCTCTTCACCTTTCCTTCCAGTTTTTTTCTTTCCCGGATTTAGGATCCGACCAGGGTTCCCATCCTAGCTGTGCTGTTTCAGACAAAGCGCTTCACCCAATCCATTGCTTCCTCTGAAAATTGAGCAAAATCGTGCCAGTGCATGGGGTTGTCGGGTGGATTGAGGAAATCCATGTAAAGTTGATAGCACGGTGCCGAACATACTAATTAATGCACTTTAGGTACTTTTACCCTAGATAATCGTGCACTAAAGCACAGCGCCTGGCATATCCTAAGCATTCAGCAAATGTCCGTTTCTGCCCTCCTTTCTCCGGTCCCTCTCCTCCCATCCTACCCTTCTCTCACTCATCCTCTACTTACTCACCTCCTGTCTTTTCCCTACTCACCCTCATTCATTCAGTTCATCTTTCATTTATTCAACAGATATTTCTTGAGCACCTTCTCAATGGGCTGGGCACTGAGGCATTAGAGATACGCCAGTGAACATAACCAGCAAAAGTCCCTGCCTCAGAGCTTAAATTCTAGTAGGTAGACAAGCTATACATTCAGTAGATTGAGCAAACATTACACTAGAAGGTTTGGGAGAGGGACGCCTGGGTGGCTCAGCAGTTGAGCGTCTACCTTCGGCTCAGGGCGGGATCCTGGAGTCCCGGGATCGAGTCCCACATCAGGTTCCCCTTGAGGAGCCTGCTTTTCCCTCTGCTTCTGTCTCTGCCTCTCTCTGTGTGTCTCTCATGAATAAATAAACAAATCTTGAAGAAGAAGAAGAAGAAGAAGAAGAAGAAGAAGAAGAAGAAGAAGAAGAAGAAGAAGGAGGAGGAGGAGGAGGAGGAGGAGGAGGAGGAGGAGGAGGAGGAGAAATGCTCTACTTGTGGGTAGCAGGGGAAACCTCAGTGTGGCTATTCTGTGACTCTCCAGGTCTACTCTCCACCCCTTCTCTATCCTGATCTGCTCCCCCAGAGCGACCTTCACAGGCCACATCGCAGGCTCCCCATCACTTTGGCTTCTGGGAAGTTTCAGGGACGGGAGAAGCTGGCAGGTGATCAGAGGGTAGGAGGAAAGTGAGATGGGGACTTTTATTTCCCAGCTCTCTGCCTACTGAGCCACAGGTTGATAAAGGTTGAATTCCTCCATGGAGGGAGCTCCCGACTCATCAGCCTCTCCTCCAGCTACAGCTCTCCCTTTGGGCTTCCAGCGTGTGCTCCCTCTCTGCGTCTCCATTACTGCTAACCCCAAGATGCTTCACCATCCCTTGGTGGTTCCCTGAACCCTGCCTATACCTCTGTAAATAGTTCCTTCATTAAATTCCTCTCAATTCCTCTTTGAGGCACCACATGTTTCTTAGGTGGCCTCCTACTGAAACACACAGAGGGGTTGAGTGACTCTCCCAAGGTCACACAAAGAGTGACAACACTTGAGAGTACTCTAACACAGAAAAGGGTGCTATCTTTTTGGCTTTGCCAGCCTGCCCAGCCCCCTCCCAGAATCCTCAGCCCTGCCCAACCTGCCGGAAATCTGTGATCCTTTTGTTGGGATGGGATTGAATTCCCTAGGGCTCCCTTCCCAGACCTGGCCAGCAACTCCAGTAACCAGAGCTGTGTGAGAAGAAAGGACCAAGCCTTTGGGGTAAGGCACACCCTGAACAGAGGTGAGGTCTCAGGTGAGTCACGCCACTGAGGGGCCACCTCCTCTGTCCCCAGGGCCTGGGTTCACCCACGGCCTGGCCTCACCAAGGAGCCAATACATCAGCCTCCCAGCACCTTGGTTGTCCTCTCCTCCCACCTTTGCCCACAGGGTTCTCCACTCTTCCATCGCCCACTCAACAGCGCCCTGGAACTAGGACATCTGCCTCCCACCCCCACCTTGGGCCTCCAGTGATGTGAGATGCTCACAGGGCTCTGGGTGGCGCCTACAGGCTCCCTACTTCCCCTTCCAGCCCCAGATCCTCTCAGATTGCCAGAGATGGGCTCCAGCCAGGGAGGGTGGGGCTGCTCCTGGGACCATCAGGTGTCACACGGGCTGTCTAGGCAGTGACAGAGCTGTGACTGGGAGCAGACCTTCACCCATCTCCGTGCCTCCAGCTGACTCAAATGTGCCATGTCTCACCACCTGCTCCTTCCACTGGTGATCCTCGGTAACTTCAGGAGACAGGAGATGGCTACAATGGGCCAGGGTCCTAGTATCTGGGGAGCTGGAAACCAGGACTCCTGGGTTCTGTGTGGGTAATGGGGGGTCAGAGGAGGAAGGGGAGGAGGGACTGAGATGTCAGAAGGGAGAGGAATAGTGTTTGAGAGGGGAAAGAGGCTTGGGTGTTATAGGGAGATGGAGCTTGCTGGGAGGGCATCAGGGAGGATTTATCAAAGTGTAGATCTCTAGCCTCTCCCTGCTTCCCTCTTTCTAGCCATCAGCCCCATCCCAGGAGCTTTCCAGAACTCAGGTAAGGCAGTTGGGGGGGGGGGGGAGTCATGTGGGAGGCAGCGAAGATAGGAGGGGTAACATGCCTACTGGCAGGGGACTGAAAGCCCAGGGACTGGGAAGGGTAGGGGGCAGCGGCCTAAGAACAGGAAGATGGGGCTTCGCGGGCTGGAAGTCACCAGTACCTTCCTCTCTTTACCTTCTAACCCTCAGCTCTCAGTTCCACCCAAGAAGAACCTGAAGATCTAGGTAAGGAAGAGTGGGGAGTTCCTCAGATCCTAAGGAAAGTTAAGGCTGGCTAGGCGAGGAGGGAGGTGGAAGTCACTGGAAAATTAGACGTGCCAAGGTCCTCACTGTTCTTGTTCAGAGGGGCAAACTGAGGCCGGGTGGGAGACAGGGCTTCGTCTTGAGCTCCTTGGGCCTCCGGCGTCGGGCAGCCGGCAGGCGACAACCTCCACGGTGCCCCAATGCAGACTGCGGTCGCCCTGAGCCCTCTGCCCGAATCATGGGGGGCTCGGACGCGCAGCCGGGGAGCTGGCCGTGGCAGGTGAGCCTGCATCAGAGCGGGAGCCACATCTGCGGGGGCTCCCTCATCGCGCCTTCCTGGGTGCTCTCGGCGGCTCACTGTTTCGTGACGTGAGTATCGGCCCACAGCCCACCCCGGTCCACAGCCAGCCCTGCCTAACCCCGCGGCTTGAGACCGCGCGGCGCCGGTCTCCCCGCCCCCGCCCCCGCCCCCGCCCCCGCCCCAAGGGCTCTGCGGAGCCGGGTCACCCTGGTTCCCAAGGCGGTAGGCGCCGCCTGCAGGCCCGCCCCACCACTCCACCAAGCATCCGACCCTGAATCCCGTCTGTCCGGCGTCCCCCGGTCAACCAACCACCTGGGAATCGGATCCACTCCCCCCCTTTCTGGGAACCCCTCTGAACCTGGATCCCTCCAGCCCCAAATCCCGACCCAGGTTTCCCGCCGATCCCACCTTCCCGCGGGCTCTGAGCCCCTACCCCGACGACAGTCGGCCTCCCCCCTCCCGCCCGGGCCTCCGCGCAGGAACGGGACCCTGGAGCCTGCGACCGAGTGGTCGGTGCTGCTGGGCGCGCGCTCCCAGGCCGCGGCCCCCGGCGGCGCGCACGTGCGCGCGGTGGCCGCCATCCTCGTGCCGCGCAACTACAGCGGCGTGGACCGCGGCGCCGACCTGGCCCTGCTGCGCCTCGCCTCGCCCGCCACGCTGGGCCCCGCCGTGCGCCCCGTCTGCCTGCCGCGCGCCTCGCACCGCTTCGCCCACGGCACCACCTGCTGGGCCACCGGCTGGGGGGACATCCAGGAAGCGGGTGAGTGTCGGGGAGGTGGGTTTCGGCGGCCGCGGAGCCCGCTGAGGAGTCCCCGGGGCCGGGCCTCGAAGCCGGAGCCCCGGGTGGGCGGGCGCGCGGGGCGGGGCCTCGGGAGGTGGACCCCGGGCGAGCGCCCGGAGCGCAGACCTCGGCCCGGTGAGCGCTCCGCCCGTCTCCCTCTATCTTCCCCGCTAAGGGCCCGCAAACCAAGACTACTGACTCCTCCAACCCATTACCTCTTCACCTTTCCTTCCAGTTTTTTTCTTTCCCGGATTTAGGATCCGACCAGGGTTCCCATCCTAGCTGTGCTGTTTCAGACAAAGCGCTTCACCCAATCCATTGCTTCCTCTGAAAATTGAGCAAAATCGTGCCAGTGCATGGGGTTGTCGGGTGGATTGAGGAAATCCATGTAAAGTTGATAGCACGGTGCCGAACATACTAATTAATGCACTTTAGGTACTTTTACCCTAGATAATCGTGCACTAAAGCACAGCGCCTGGCATATCCTAAGCATTCAGCAAATGTCCGTTTCTGCCCTCCTTTCTCCGGTCCCTCTCCTCCCATCCTACCCTTCTCTCACTCATCCTCTACTTACTCACCTCCTGTCTTTTCCCTACTCACCCTCATTCATTCAGTTCATCTTTCATTTATTCAACAGATATTTCTTGAGCACCTTCTCAATGGGCTGGGCACTGAGGCATTAGAGATACGCCAGTGAACATAACCAGCAAAAGTCCCTGCCTCAGAGCTTAAATTCTAGTAGGTAGACAAGCTATACATTCAGTAGATTGAGCAAACATTACACTAGAAGGTTTGGGAGAGGGACGCCTGGGTGGCTCAGTGGTTGAGCGTCTGCCTTCGGCTCTCGGCGTGATCCTGGTCCAGGGGTGGAGTCCCACGTCTGGCTCCCTGTGAGGAGCCTGCTTCTTCTTCTGTCTGTATCTCTGCTTCCCTCTGGGTCTCTCATGAATAAATAAATAAATAAATAAATAAATAAATAAATAAATAAATAAATAAATAAATATTAAAAAAAAAGAAGAAGGTTTGAGAGGAAATAGAGCACTTTCCCATTCCCTATCATCCCTATTATCCAGTGCTACTTTTCCATGTTAACAAGGCCCCCACAATGCATTACTGTGATCAGACCTGTGCTGTGCAGTGCCCAGGGCTTTAGCAAGGGTGCTTCAGGAGAAGATACCACAGCCTGTGCTTAGAGGGGCCCCATCAGGGCAGAAGATGACATCAAAGGGTCATTCTGAGCACATAGGAAGTCCATGGGGATGGGCCCAAACCATCCTGACAAAGGGTATCCAGAACAGGAGATTTCTGGGGAGCTGTTGTAAAGAGGACATAAGTTAGCATAACAGGCTAGTGTGGGGAGATGGAGGCCACTCTGGGGACTCACATGAGACATGACAGATGGAGAAGGGCCAGCTTGCCAGGCTGGAATGGAAGAGGCATAGGCAACAGAGGTCACGAAAGTTGCTAGGGCTGGACTATGAAAGCCCTAAGGTCAAACCAAGGTCCAGAGTACTCCACCAGCTCCCAGGATCCCTAGGACAATCCCCAAACTTGCCTGGATAGCCCTCAAGTACAGCCTCACCATTACCTGACCTCTCAGGATTCTGGGTGGGGAGGCAACGAGCTCTGTCCACGCTCTCCACCACGCGTTCCTGGATTCTGAGACGTTGTTTCCATCAAAGGCAGGTTTAAAAAAAAAAAAAAGGCAGGTTTACCTCAGGAAAGGGGTAGGCCTCAGATGTAGACAGTGGGATCCATTGATTGTTCTTGATAAGATCAGAGCTGAGCTTTAAACACATTCCT